TATGGCTAGTGCCGGCCAACTTTTTCTGTATTACATTCTTTCGGGGATCCATTGTTCGGGATTTTGACCCAAAATCCATAAATTTAGGGTAGTGTAAAAAGTCGCACTCATGCTATACGTCTATTTTGATCCTTAGTACATTTTTCAATAAATACAGTATTGTTGGGCGCTGTTTTTTTTTATTTTTTGTGAATATAAAACATACAGTTCACCCTCGTTATAACGTAGTGATCGGGCTGAAAAATTCTGTCCGTTATAATTATATCCGCTATAGCGTTATATAGTATAATAATAAAGATTTTAAATTATTCCAGAGAATTACTGTTATAACGAGGTATCAGCTATAACGGAGTCCGTTATAATGAGGGTGAACTGTAAATATTAGTTTGAGAACACCTATTGTTATTATATTGTCCTTATGAGAACAGTATTTGGATCTTAAATTTCAAACACTTAATCCTGATTATAATCATCGCATGATTTAAATCGGTGAAAATAATTTTTTACCATCCCTAGTCCTTATACAAAAAAATTCTATGTGAATTATGTCGCTATTGAACTAAAAAATTAGCAATATATACGTATGCAATTATGAATCTTTTTTCAGGATTAAATCCCGACATATAATTCAAATACCCAAATCAAAATAAATATAATAATCAAGAGTTAGGTTAAATAGCGATAAAAGAAAGTTTGTAACGTATTGAGCATGAAAAAAAATTACATTCACTTAATATACTGTAATATACGTATTATAAGATCAAGTATTTTTTTAAAAAATATTGTTACACATCTAATTGTAACGCGGAGTGTCGTACCATAATAATAATAGAAAGCGCGTTACACCCGACCTTGAAATCTGATTGGTCGGCAAATAGTCCAAAATTTTTTAGGTTGGCTAGTACAATGGATTCAGATCAAAAATTAGGCGTTTAATTTTTAATGAGAATAGGAACTTTTATAGCTTTCATTAACGATGGGCCTAATATTTAGTTTACTTCGTAAAGTTCATAATGAGTGCGTTTACAAATTAATTTTAAACTATTAATAAAATATAGATAAATAATTTATCTATTTATCTATATAAACTATTCTCTCAAATCTTTATATGAACTACAAAGTAATTAATTTTAAACTATTAATTAAAATGTATTGAAGATAAAAAATTTATAAACTACTGTGTTTCTCAAATATTTATATGAACTAAAAAAAGGAACATATTAAGCATTTATTTTATGAGATTTTTGTTCGTCCAATTTCTTTTCCATCGCAACAAATAACAAGTGTGTAACCTATAAGGTCTGTAGGTTTATCAACTCCAGTAAATACTTCAGTATAGAATGCGAATGCAATATTCTCGTTAGTAAAGGTATCTAATTCATTTCTGGTGGTAGATCCAGTTATAATAGCTGGTGTGAGGTCAAATGCCACTTTATCATCACAATAAATTTTAAAATCATAAACAGATATATCTTTTATCGTAACTAATTCCACCAACATATTCATTAGAACATCGTTGGGTGATGTTGCACCCCAGTGCCACGGCGGCTAATTCACTAGAATCGATATGAGCGTATGCAAGACTTGGGTTTTTAGACGGTTCAACTCTCTTTATTGGAGTGGTTTGAACTAACGATGCCAACTTAATTAATTTTAATAAACAAAATAGTTTTCAGGTCAAAAATATTTTATTTACGATAATTACTGAAACTGCAAGATACTATAACAGATAATTAAATTTTGTATTATAAATTCTAAAATGTGATTAAATAGATGATGTAATAAAAAAAGTTTAATTAAGTTTATTAAAAAGTTTAATTAATTTTGTTGTTATGATAATAAATCCTTGAATTTGAATACAACGATAATAAAAATCTTTGAATTCGAATATAATAAAACTATCTTAAACTTGCTTTTAACATGACTGAAGAATCAAACTTATATTCAAATTCGTCATCACAAGCTGACACATATTCTGAAGAAGATATATTAATAAATTCAGAACAAGGCCAACTTATTAATCGTAAGCATAAAAGTGTTGGTCGACCAAGAGAACAAATTTGGGAGTATTATATAACTAGTAGCAACATTGGTTCTCGTAGTGCAACTTGTTATCATTGTCCAAAGTCTTGGAGTTGTGGACGTCCTGGTGAAATGGAAGCTCATCTTGCTAATATTTGTCCTGGAGTTCCTAAGAATATTAAAGAGTATTGGCAAGAATCACTTTCTAAAAAAGTGATTAATTACAAAAGAATGAAATATTCTAAATTAGATCAATCAAATATAAACAAGTTAGATGAAATATTGCCAATACATGAACAAAATGAGATTGACAAATATGTTTTAAAAGCATGGATTACAGCAGGAATTCCATTTGATATTATTAGAATCCATTTATAATTAATTTATTTAAACGACTTAATTCATCATATACACTACCAGGTCGTATGACACTTTCTAGTCAATTAGCAAGAAACTGCGGGAATTAATCTTAAAGTTAATTCTGAATTAGAAAAATGTAAATATTTAACTTTTGCAATTGATGGATGGTCTTCGCCAAATGGCAATTCACTTTATAATTTTATAATTTCAACTAAAGATCGTCGTGAATATCTTGTTGCACTTAAGGACTATTCAAAAATTTCTCAAACAGGAGTATTTATAGCAAATGAAATTGAAACTATTATTAAAACTATTGGAATAAATAAATTTGCAGGAATAGTAACGGATGGTGGTAGCAATGTTAGAGTTGCACGTCAAATTATTAGTCAAAAGTATCCACATATTTTAAACATTCGTTGTGCAGCTTACTCACTAAATCTAATTGCTACAGACTTAGTAAAAATTTTATAATAAAATTTTTTCATAAGAATCACTATGCAAATGCACTATTAAAAGAAGGATTGGCAAAAATGCAAATTAAAGGTGGTGATTTAAAATCATATACTAAGACCCGTTGGTGTTCTCTCTGGAATATGTCAGATTCAATGTTACGAGCACATCCTATATTCGATTGGGTAATTATTAAAATTTATATTTAATACAATAATACATTATATATAGTATTGTAATTAATTTATTTGCTAAATTTATTTTATTTTATTATAATATAGATTAAACGTGAACATCCAAATGTATTAACTAATCAAAATATATTTAATCATATTGGTGATGAAGGCCTTTTCCGAATTTGTAAAGTAGTTTCAGAAATTTTCAAACCTATCAAAGAGACTATTAATATTGTAGAATCAAAAACAGCAACAATGTCAGATTGTTTTATTGGATTTATTAAATTAGCAGCTGCAATTAATCAAATATCTGATGACAATGAATTAAAATAGATGCTATTAAAATATTTAATTGTCGATATAAGGAGTTTGATCATGATGTTTATTTACTTGGATATTTTTTACACCCTGGCTATCGTGGATTAGGATTAAAAAAAAAAGTATTCAGAAAAATTTGTGATATTGCGGCTAAGTACTGGAAAGCATTAGGACATGATGAATTGTCTTGTTTAAATTTGTTAGCTGATCTTAGAAATTATAAATGAAATGAAGACCCTTTTGATATAGAATACAAAAATGGAAGTGAAAGGTCTCTTAGTTGGTGGCTTACATTTGATGAAGATGAATATGATGAACATCCCTTAATTGATCTTGCAACTAAAATATTTTCGATTATGCCTTCTCAAGCAGAATGCGAAAGAAACTTTTCTGTTTTGGGATGGTTTTATGGAGACCGCCGCCATAATCTTGATGTTCATCATGTTTGAAATGAACGATGAATAGAATTTATAGTTATATTTATAAATAATATAAATTATCACCGATAATTGTATGTAGCAGTAGCAATTTAAATATTTATTATAATATAGTAGCACATTGGCATATTTAAATATATAGCATTTGTAATATATATTTAAAGTTAATACTTAATTTATAGTATAGTACTGTACATTTACTCTGCTAGCCGTTTAGTATAATTTATATTTTAGGTTTTATAATGCAAAAATTATTTATCATTTTTTGCATAATTTTAACTTTTAAAATTGCAAACCCAAAAATTATTTTAGTTTTAGCTTTTAAAATTGCCAAATTAATTTAATTAAGTTGGCATCGCTAGTTTGAACTAATCCAGCAATGATACAAATCAATGCCAAGATAGTTAAATGTAAAAATTTTTTTGACATAATCATTTTTTGTAGTTTGAAAGTGTGGATTCTTAATTTTGTATAAGCCGATTTTTATTTCGACAAAGATGACCGAAAGCAAAAACATGCTCCTTTTATAATTAAAATAACAATGAAAAGATTATTGTATAATTAGTATTAAGAATATTACTGTACGAACATACATGTACAGTACAGTACATTGTATATATGTGCACACATACGTACGTACGTAATTTATTTCTTATGCAAATACAGTCAGACCTCTCTAAGTGCACGCCCTTGGGACCACATTTTAATAACGCACATATAAAGAATAACAAGAAAAGGTGCATTTATAGAGTTGCGTATATATTGGGCCAGCACTTGAGCGTGCATTTAGAGAGGATGTGCACTATAAAGGGTATACTTAGAGAGGTCTGACTGTAATTCTTTTTTTAATTCTCCCTGCTTGTAAATTTTTTCTCGCATACATACCCTTATTCAACAAATTAATTAAGCACTTGTATACCAAAAATATGTATTGCATTGTTTTATGTTATAAAATAATGAAATACTAAATTAAGCATGTGTTATACTGTATAACGTATAGTGAGATACTTAATTAGGTATGCGTTGTCGATATAATGAAATACTAAATTAGACATGCACAGTCAGACCTCTCTAAGTGCACCCTTTCTAAATGCACGCTCAAGTGCTGGCCCAAATATATACGCGACCTCTATAAATGCAGTTTTCTTATTATTCTTTATATGCACATTATTAAGCGTGGTCCCAAGGACGTGCACTTAGAGAGGTCTGACAGTACTAATATGATGACAACGCTGTGTCTGTTCTACCTAATATTGCTTTTTTTTTTAATTCCGTGAAAAATAAAACAGAGTTACAGATGCATACAAAGGATTTATTTTCGGAAATTTACAAAAGGAGCTATTTTTTGTGCCAACAAATAAGATAATAAAGGGTCTTCTATATATTGCCCCTAAAAAAAGAGTATCCAACCATTGATACGGGTAAGAAGGATGAAGGAACTGTAATACCTTTCTATCTCATACAACGTTTAGTTTGTGGTATTACTTATCGTTTAATATAATTACATGATGTTATTTTTTTGTTATTGTTCATGTGATATGATCATGTAAAAGTTTTTGCCTTGATATTATTGTCGCACTTCTGAAATCTGTGCCAGGTTATGCCGATCACCGAATCGAAAAGCATTAAGCACAGATTTTAATTTACATTAT